TATATATATATATATATATATATATATATATATATATATATATATATATATATATATATATACACACACACACGTATATGTGTGTGTATGTGTGTATATATAGCTGTCTGTCTTTATTAATGGATATCCGAAGTGAATAACTCGTGGCTGTCGAGGGAGAGACCCTCATGGTGCTAAAAATTCAACTGAATGAAGGTTTTCGAATGGAGATACAATTAGCTGCAAAGGTATTCACACTTTTTAAACTTTCTCTCCTTTTATGGCTTTATTAACAACAACTGAATAGTATTTGAATTTGATGTTATAGATCAACACATAACAGTATAAAAGCATCAGGAAAAGGATGTATGGAATCTACAAGGTTATGTGTGAATTTGGATCCGCCTCCTTTATTCAATACTTGAGTCTACACATAGAACAAACCATTGATAATATGAAGGATTGACACCTTTGGCACACCGAGAGACTGTTATCTTTACCCTTCCTCCTTTGCAAATAGTTCAAGCTCTCTAAGATTTTGCCTCTCTAAGACTTTGACTGGGCCAATTTAATTCATGAACATACTTTGATCTACTCCATTCTATTGTTACTTGGGCTGAATGTTAATTAAAGCTTTCCCGTTGAAAGGGGAACCTCTCCACCAATCTCAAGTGTTTTACAACTTGAGAGGTTTCCTTCAAGATTTGTATGGGGGAGTTTAAGTTGTTCTATCATATAAAATGTCTCTAAAATACTCAAAAATTTGTGATTTTATTGTACAAAAATGTGAAAGAGTTAATGGGTATGAATACTTATGCAAGACACTGTCCAGCCAATGTGTAAATGGCAACAACTGCAACATCAGCTTTTCCAGATCTGTGGAACCACAAAATAATGCCTTACAACCAAATATTATGGTTCCACGTGTATCTCGTATGCTCTAGCACAGCTGTCTACAAATGTTAGACTGCATATAGGATGGTTTTATTGTAAAAAAAAAAAAAAAAAAGAAAAGAAAACACACCAGAAGTGAGATTTGTGAGGTGGAGTGTCTACAGTGCATGTGTGCCCATTGGAACGGATTCTGCCTGAACACTTCCTCACAATATATCTGGAGCATGAAGAGGAAGAAGTCAAAAGACTATCAGCTGCATTGTTTCTGTGTTAAACTCCTGTGTAAATGTGTGTTGTAGCTGGTTTATATGGAAAAAGTGTGTTTGTAAGTTGTATGTGCTTAAAATGAATATGTCATTGTATGTGCCAAGCTCGAAGTGACCCACGCTGATCCAAACCAGTTTTTGTTTTTCCACTCCACATTCATGTCTGTAGTGAAGAAACATGGATGCTATGTCTACTGCATCACTCATTAAAGTACAGAGGTTCACACCTCTCATGTGTTTGGTGTTTCCCTGCTGAACTATAATATTTATGATCATTTCACTTTGAACATTTAAAAAAAAAAAAAGTAAAAAAATACATTTGATCCAGAACATTTTTTTTTATTGGGGGAGAAAAACTGCAATAAATATGATTTCAATGAAATTGGTGGTGCCACAATCTTTGGTAACAAAAATTGTAGAAAGAAATGAACCAATGGTCTAAATTGATCAGACATGCTGGCCTAGTTTTTTTTTTTTTTATAATTTAACCGCATAGATAAAAGCAATGAGCTTTATGCTGTGATGTGTCTCAAAAGATTTAATTTTCCCTTTTTTTGTAAATGTATTAAACTGTCTTTAATTTGTTAGTTGTTTTTTAACCTTTAGAAAATATTCAAAAAGTAGAAATGTGAAAGTGTTTTTTTTTTTCAGTGTAATTACAGAAAATACACAGATACATATTTTTTTGTTAAGTAAACCCATCTATAACCTATCCCCATCTATAGTATAAATGAGTATAGTAAGAACATGAGTAAACTATATGCATGCTAGATCAAAGATAATATGGTTCGTTATTTTATATTTGTTGGTTATCATCTCTGATTGGTCATGAAACTCATGTCTCTTAATGTTGATGAAACTGTATCTATGTATCTATCTATATATCTAGGTGGGAAAAACCAGTAGCATGATCATTAATCTCTCTGGTCGAAAATAATTAAATTCTATTTGAATTCTGTAAGAAACTAGCGGCTGGGTAGCTCAATTGGTAAGTCACCCGTCCTGCAAACAGGAAGCCTAGGATTCATATTCCAGCTGGGAGTTAGAGCTGCCAGTGTGAGTTAAAGTAGGTGGGCGCTGCACAATGGCAGCCCACTGCTCCCCAATGGGATGAACTAAATGCAGAGGGATTTAATTTTGTTGCTCTGACAGTGTAACGATGCTGGGGGGGAAAAAAAACCCCAAAAATATTTGAGGTTAGATTTTAAAGGTCAATTGTATTTCCAAATAAATAATTGACCTTCACATGTGTACATTAATGCAACCAATCTGTCTCTCATTCGAATTGCTGTGTGACCATTGAGATGCTAACCCTAACAGAAAGACAAACTCATTATACCACAGCAGCATCTTACCTAAACTAAACGGCCTCTCAGTGGGAGACTGGATTATTATACTGATATTTGCTTTGCTTGTTATCTTCTGATAAATACTTAAATTGATAAAACCAAAAGTAGGTCCACAAGAGGAAACCATGAGATCTTGTGAAGAAAACTTCAATCCCTTACATGACAGTTCAACATATTTCCTAATCTAAAAAAGGTTTTCCAATCTGGGATACTATGTAGATTAGTGAAAGTTACATACTGTAAATTTTGAATCATTTTGTTGTTGAATTAATTCTTTAGTATTTTCTTAAACAAAATTTACATAATTTATTTCTTTAAATCCTGTTCCATACAACCAACCCATTTAAGCTCAAGATTAAAAATCAGGCTATTTAGCTAATATTGGCACAAATGATTGACTGATCTTAATGACTGTGCATAATAGTTAATTTTTAAATAGATAAACTACCCAAAAGTTATTTAGAAATAAATGGCAACCAAACCCAAAATATGGAAGAGTATTAAGTGGACAAACAGGGTGGTGGTTTAGTGGTTGGGGCACAGGGCTTTGAATCCTGAGAATGTGAGTTTGATCCCCCTGTCCCACAGACTTTCACTCTGGATCCCTGAACAAGACCCTTAACCCCACACTGCTGCCCTGGCGCCGCACAATGGCAGCCCACTGCTCCCCAAGGGGATGGGTTAAATGCAGAGAAGTAATTTCCCTCTGGGATTATTAGAGTATATAAAATAAAAATAAAAAAACACAGATAATTTGAAGAAGAGTCTATTTGAAAATCCTCATCACCAGCAGCCATCTTTCTCTATCTTAAATCTTGTTTTGGCATCATAGGTTTTATCTGTCCCTGTGCTGATGGGTTTGACTGACATTTAAGCACAGATTCCAATATCTGTGCAGTGTGGGGACTACAAATCTGATATCTGCGAAGACAATACTGGTGTTGAAGCTACTCAACAATGTGATTAGCACACAGAACAATAGTAAGCATTTCAGCATCCATTCTTTGCCTGCTTAGTGAGTCATGTGTCAGGTTTGTTAGGTGACAAGAGTGTACGCTACATTAGGGCTGGTGACAGTTGGAGAAGTGGACATGTTTGAATCTATAGCCATACGCTTCTGGCCTCCTTATATTCACAGCTTAAAAAATACCCAGCCCAGGTAGGCCGGGTCTTGGAGTATGCTGAAATTGAACAAAGCCAAAGGAAAAAGCAGAGATACAAAAGGTAACTGTTAACTGGCTTTACAGGTGGCCCCGTCCAGGAGAGACACGGCCAGGCAGACGAGCTGCAAGCCAGCTCCCATGTCAGAGGATGAAAGAAAGCACATACAGTTAGTCGCAGTCAGAGAAACAGGACTACACTGAAAAACAGGCCGATCTCCAGCATCTATAATCAAAGGTGTTGATAGCAGCCAGCACAGCTGATTTTCTCTCCAGGATTGTGTCACATTCAAAAAGCAACAGACCATATGAAGCTACTATGATGAGGAAAAAACAGAGAGAGTCTAAAGTTAAAGATTGAGGTAACAAATACTGTAGAATGGGAGAATAGATATAGAATGAAGCAGAATGATAAAAAGTTGTCCCTATATCCTCCAGCACTCTAAACCTATAGCAGCATATCTATAAAGATAGCTCAGGATAACCTGGCCACTCTCTCCATAAGCTTTATCAAAAGAAAACATTTTAAGCCTAACCTTAAAAGTAGACAGAGTGTCTGCCTCACGGACTAAAAATGTTAGTTGGTTCCTGAGAGATGCCTGATAACTAAAAGATCTGCCTCCCATTGTACTTTCTAGGAAATTCTAGGAACCACTAGAAAACCGGTTGAGAGCAAAGTGCTCTGTTAGGGACATAAGGAACAATCAGATCTCTGATATAAGATGGAGCTTGGCCATTTAAGGCTTTATATGTGAGAAGGAGGATTTTAAATCCTATTCTGGATTTTACACGAAGCCAATTAAGAGAGAGGATAGCAGAAACACAATCTTTTTTTTAAATTCTCATCAGAACTCTGGCTGCAGGTTTTGAAAAAGCAATGAATATTGTCTCATTATAATTATTATATTTGCTCTCGGTTAACAGTAAAGCCCAACAAAAGCACTATAGTCACCTATATAAAAGAATCAGTTAAGTGAGCAAACTGAGCTATTCACAGCTTTATTTCATCATAACCACTAGAGAGCACTAATGCTGTATATATCGAAGGTCAGTTAATTGAATTGGAGTTGGATTCCCTAATAAAATGTATTTACCTTTTTCCAAATGATTGTTGAAGTTTATGTGAATAAAACTAAACATCAATAAAGAGCATATATTATATGATTAATTACTCGATTATGCCAGACTACCATGTGTTAAATTTAGTCCAAAGCTCTGTGGTCACTCTCTTGCGTAAGATGTTTTGTAATCTCTCCAGAGAAACTAAAACCTAAGCTGTGAGACTGGGTCAGCCTGCTATTGGTTGACATGGTGGTTTCTCCATGTTGCAAAGATATTGCAGCAGTCTGTTAAGCACTAAATCTCTATTTGGCTCCACATAGAGGTCACCAAGGGAACTGCAACTCCTTCAAAGAATTTGTAAGGTTTTTGAATAATAGAGCACAATATTACAAGAAACATTGAGCTTGTTTAGAGAAAAAACTACATTTTTGTCCCATGAGCCGAAAATGACACCAACAAATCCTCACAAAATTTCCAAAGCTTTGACTTGACAGCAATTATTTCTATGATATAAAAAAGAACAAATCCAAAAAGAAAGGGAAGCCACTAAAGGGCATTGCTAAAGAAGAAACCTACTAATAACAAACATAATAAAGAATTAAGTGAAAGGAAACAGTGTGACAGAAATGGGTGTGGAAGGGACAACAACTTTGAGAGACATGACTTTTGTTTTGGCAAGATTTACAAGACTGCAGCTAGAATAAGACGTTAAAGAGCTGCTACATACAGATGTGTCCAGGGAATGGGCCACAACTGTTATATTCCGCATCTGAACTAGGGACAACATCAAAATCATCAAAGAAAAAAATATGTTTAGTTTTGATTAAATATATCTTTTTAAGACTAATAGTGCAAAGTAAAGCGGAAGAGTGGAGAATCACAAAACCACATGCAACTTGAAGTTGTGTGATGTAGCCATCTATCAAGGGAATTTAGGGGACTTAATGCTTCCTTCTGCTGACCGGTTTTATGGGATTGTTGATTTAATTTTTCAGCAGGCTGTGGCACTTACCCAAACTGCCAAAGGCTTGACTCTAAAGGCTTCAAGTAAAGCAACCCAGGATTCCTAAACATGTTAGCAGACGGAAAAGGAGCCCTGAAATAGTACTGAATCAAAATCTGAAATCTACACAGACACAGATAATTTCATACTCATACTTTTAAATAAAACACAAATAAACTCTTGACATATAACATTCTTTTTGAAATGAATTTGTATACTAGATGGGTTTCAGTTTTTAAATTGAATCGTAGAAATTATTATATGATATATTCCAATTTGGGATGTACCTAAATTTGCTATAATATAGACACACCCTTTTTACAATGTTTTGCATAAACCATCAAATATGGTTGCTGCTCTGCTCTGATAGTGAAAGGCTGTAAATAAGATTAACATGTGGCTTCACTTTAGGTTTCAAACATTGATGTGATTTTTGTCTTTTATACATTTCCAAACAGACAGATTTTTTTTTTTTCTGGTTTCAAAGGAGTACATGTAAGAATCTTCTTTGGCCAGCTGATTGACAGTGCAGGACAACAGGTTGGGGAGGGGGAGCAGCATTATTTAATCCTTTCTAAAGCAACAAATGTCACATCAGCACTTTCTCTGGTATCTCATTAGAAATACTTTGCTGAACTTGCTGTCTGAAAAGCAGCCTATGTTGCATATTTTCCAAAAATATATCTTTTTTAACTTCTCTTCTCAAAATTAAGAAAATAAATCACACATAAAAGTTGCAAGCTTTGTAAAATGAATGGACCTTGTGCTCCATAATATATTTGTAGAGGGGCTGGGGTGTGGCACAAATCATCCAAACATACTTTTGGTCACATAGCATCTTTAATACCACCATTATAATAATTAGGATATCAAAAGTATCGAGTATACATACATAATTTGCATTGCGGTACACAAATCTGAGCTGATTCATGTTTTTATATCTTTCATTCGCTGTTCTCAGGATCAACTTTTATTATCTCGACATTGTGCTGATACATTAAACTGTCCCGGAGAACTCAACGCTATTTCAGGAAGGAGAACATTTAATCGGACATGTATTGTTAAGCAATATAAAAAGCTTTTTTGATATTTCCAAATGTAACTTGAATCCTATAGTCTACTACTTTCCAATACCAATATTCAAGAATCTTGATATAAGCCAAACTAGAGTCCATGTCACCCAAATCGACGTACTTTAGGTCGGTTTCTGCATCTGTCGCAGCTTTGATATTCTGTTCTTCTTTTTTTTTTTTTGCAGTTAAGTTCTTGATGCTGTAGGAACAGTCTCTTGAAGCCATGCCTGTTTTTGTAACAGTCCCAGTAAATGGATCCCCAGGAGTCTGAAGATGTGTGAGTGTTTATGTGTGTACTGGTTGAGGAACGCAAGGGTTAAAAAAAAAAAAGAAAAAAAGATGGTGAAAACACCTCACTTTAGCTCCACCACCTTTGCTGTCACAGTCTTTGCTGTCTGTCAGACGCTGGTGATGGAGGCCAGGCAGTTCGATGACTTCTGCAGTTTCTCAGGCTGCGTGGTGGAGGGTTCGGGGATGGCGCGAAAGCTGAATGGCAGTCCAATACTGCTCGTGCCAATGTGTCCTGGGCTCAGCGCCGGATTCTGCCGTCTATTGCTTTCCACGATGCTGGATGTGTTGGATGCAAGGCTTTCACGGGTCCTGCACAAACAAACACGAAAAAGTTATTTCACAATTCTGGTTGAACTGTTTTCAAATCCATCTACCCAAAGTTCGGGGACAGTATTTGCTTCTTTTGCAGATTTCCTGTTTTTGTTTTTTAGATATATTCTAATTTAGCTATTTACCCAAAATAATTGTGTAGGTAAATCTGAGATGCATTCACAAATCATGATTTGATTTATTGAGCTACCACGATAAATGCAACAGCTGCCTGCCGTCAAACACTGATTGACAATGATTATTTTGTGGAAGAATTTTGAGACATTTTTTTGTTGTCCAGTCAGAGGGTTCAAAAGCAATGGTGACTTGTTTAAGATCATGCAGCAGTAGCCAAATTGAATACATTTATCTTATTGTGTTTTTGAAACATTAGGTAGAACTGCTGCTGTTATTTAGAGCATTTTTCATGCCCCATAATACAAATGAGCACGAGATTTATGTTGAATCAATATTCTGATTCTGGGTTTTCTGGTTCGGAGCAGAATTCCTTTTTTGATCATTTATAGGCCAGGTCCTTTGCAGCCAAACAGCCTCTGACTGTTTTTGTGTGTTAAATACCACACCTTTCAAAAACTACAATTTTTGCCCCATTAGCCTACAGAATATAACTTTTATCTTTGAGTTAGATACTGTTCAATGCATTTTTGGAACCTCCAGGGTGAGAGGTTCACTTTAGGAGTAATTTTGGTTGGCTGATCACGCCTGGAAACATTCACCATTCACACATTCATTCACACTGACGAAGCGGAAGTGCCAGAAAATCAGTTCCACCTGGCTATGAGTAAAATTGTTTTTTAGAATTGGATATGTAATCCATTTCAGACTTCTAGGTGTCAATAATTTTGCTTCTTGTCTATTAATTAATAATATTTATGACAATTTTATAGGTTTGTTGCTTTTTTTAGTTGAAATTAAGCTATGAAAACTTACTTTGTATTTCTCCATAATATCTTTTTTTGTTGATCGAGAAGATTTAAATGCCTCAGACTATTTTCATGACTGACTTTGCAGCAATCTATTCTGCTGAGAAAACATGTGGGGACAATGGTGATGATACAGATGACAATAGATCATAACATAAAAGGCCTTAGTTCCTAAAAACAACAGAAGCAAATAAACAAAAACTACCAATTGGTTTGTTTAGATAATTTGTACTTTTTTTTCTTTTTACAGTCATGTGTAGTCGATACCTTAATATTGGTGAAATGACACATGTAGCTCTGGAGATAAGATGACACAGAACCAGGGAAATAATTACTGGCTGCATAGGTTTGATGCCATTCATTTAAGCATGTGGCCCAGTTATACTTTAATACCGGTACTCAGAAACAGTCAGTTCTAAACATAAAACTAACAAAATTAATAATTTATTTTTGTTTTAGTTCACAGGAAACATTCACTGTGTCATATAGCCCCCAACTGACAGGCGCAAATTGACAAGACCCATTATGATACTTCTACAAATATAATAAAACGTCTACAATTAGGTTACAATCTGGAAACTGAACCTAAATATCAGAATAATAACTACAGCCCAGCTAATAACTTCCACGTCAATTACTGTTTTTTGTCCACAGCAAAATATTGATACTTTTATCACTAAATATTGTGTCTTATCTCTCACAGAATTTATTTTTTAAACCAGATGCATACAATAATAAAACAATGATATCTAAAGCAGTCAGGGACCCCGTACATTTAATTTGATTCCTTTACCTATAGTGAATTTAGCCAAAAAAAGCAAAGCAGTCTTCAAATAGTTTAGCGCGAGCTTGGATGATGCAGCTTCCAACTTTATGTGTCATATAAATCACAAATTCTTGTTTCCACAAATTTTAATATAGGTTCAACAAATCTTTAACTGTGTTTCACACAATTTGTAAAAAATTATTCAGGTTTGATTAGTAAAAAAAAATGCTTCTGGTAATAACTAAAGTAATAACTATTGTAATTACCTCCTGCATAATTCATCAATTGTGACCACTGTTTTGATCCCCTATGTTAAAAATCAATTGGATGAGGCTTTGGTAAGAAAAGCAGATAGATGATGTTATATAGTCATACAATTATAACTTAACAGTGTGCAATTTTGGCCTTCTGCATGAGAAAGAAAGGCAGTCATCCATCCATTTTCCATCATGCTTGATCCCTCTTGGGGGTTACGAGGGGTGCTGGTGCCTATCTTGAGCTGTCTATGGGTGAGAGGCGGGGTACACCCTGTACAGGTCGCAGGTCAACACAGAGACAAACAGCCATTCATGCATACACTACCACCTAAGGAGAATTTAGAGAAGCCAATCAACCCAACGGTCATGTTTTTGGAGAGTGAAAGGAAGCCACACATGCTGACCATTCCTGACCGCGGGTCAGGAATGGAACCCAGAACCTTCTTGTTGCAAGGCAGCAGTGCTACACACTGCTTCACTGAATAGACCAAGTCAGTAATAAGAGATACAAAAAGCAAGTTAAATATTAGTCTTTATACTGACTTAGAATCTGCAAAAGTTCTTGGTTAGTTTACTTATTCAGACATTCATGCAAACATTTATTCATTCAACTTCATTTATTCCACTTATCTATTTGGTTTGTTTAGTTATTTTGTGTGTTTCCTTTCTTAGACCTACAACTATTGTACATGAATATTTTTCAAGAAAAAAGCATAGAGTATTTTTAAAACAAAATTACCTAAATATACAAGGTTCGTTACCCATTAGAAACAAATGCATTCTGCTGATTTGGTTAAGTGCATCAACTTATTAAAGAAAAAAACATTAAATGAACATCAAACTGAACAGACTGAAAGCTGACTAATCAGCAGTGACATGTGATATGTATTTGCAATATAAACAGAGAGATAATGAAACTGAAAAGGGCTGTTCAGTAGTGCTTTCAGAAACCAACATGTTACATCAGCATGATTATGTCAGATTCTCAAAATTGTTCAATATTTTTCTGGTTTTAGGTTTGAAAAAACTTTTATCATATAAACAGTAAAAACTAATTAAAGTTTCATCAGTAGAAAAATGTCTTAATTACAAAATGAAAAATGCTATTTTGATAGAAACTTGTTGGTGTTACTGCAAAAATAATTTTGTGTTTAATATCATAACTAATAGTTTACTTTAGGTACCAACAATGATTTCACATAATGATTACAAGTTTGTGAAGGATTATTTAATCTTTATTTGGCAAATTTAGTTCAAGCAGGTTTTTGGGTGTGGTCAAGGCCAAAGCTATGGTTTCTTTAACGTAACTGCTGCAGCTTATTCTGTTTTAAAAACTTTTATAAAGCCACATTTTAAACTAAATACACAAAAGATTCAGTAGAGACAGGGTTGGGTTTGTGTAACCCACCAATATGAAAATCATATTCAGCCAATGTAACCATCTCTTACAACAGAGGAAAAAGGCGTAAAATGTAAACACTTTTCCGTGGAATGCTGGATTTTTACATTGCCTTTAGGTTCACAGCCATGGAAAGTCTGTAAAAGTATGGAACCATGTTTATGTACAGGTCTTAATAAATCCTTGGAGGAAATAAAGATTTATTATAAATTACAAAGTAATATGCATAATTGGATGCTTTCACTGCACTTTTTAAACTGTTCTTCCCACTGTGTTTTTTTTTCCCCAATGTGTGTAATTTTTCTGTAACCATGTTCTGTAGTTGCTGCAGTCTTGGCCAGTTCACATTTACAGATGAAAAATAGAACAGTAAAACTGAAAAGTAAATTTAACCCTTCTCTGCTAAAGATATAATTTCCGTCACTTAATTGAATTAATTGCTGTATTTGTTATGATCTTCAATAAAGATAAAATCACAGTGAAATGCATATACTTTTTCTGTTTCTATTAGTATCACAGTAAACGTATGTCTTAAACAAAATTCCAAATATCATTGTATGTTATTTAGATTTATACAATAGATAAACACAAGGAAGTCCTTCATCATGAAGTGATATATTTGGTTATATTCGGAAAAGGTTTGAAGAATTACCTTTTACAGCAACTACAGATTTAAGTATATGCCAGCTGTTGACATTAATAGTAGACACTTCAAGTCACACTCATGCTTGTTTGATGGAAGTATCTACAAAAAACTATTTAAAGTCTAGAAATATGTTCTAAAATGGACTATAGTATGGACTTTGACTGGGACATTTTATACATACATAGAGGTACACAAAACAAACATCCTCACTTGCACACATATTTATAAAAAAGGGCAATTTTCTAAAAGTCATATTTTTTAACAGAAGAATGAAGCCAAACAACCTGAGTAGAACCCATACCCCCGTCAGCATCTTTTTATGGTTTTATAAACTAGTACCTAAAGACAGCATGTAGGGTATATTTGGTGACACAGTTAAAAGCAAAGTGGCAACACATTTTGATCAATATTGGAAAGTCATAAGCCAGGTGTTTTTTCATGACCCGAACCCCAAGAAACGTTGCCTGAAAACACACATTTTTTACAGTAGCACTTTTCGAATAGAATAGAATAGAAAATCTCTTTCTTGTCCCACAATGGGGAAGTTCTGATCTTTATAGCATCAAAAAGATTATAGAAAAAATGTATCACACAAATGTGGACCTTAGAAAAATATATAAGAATAACATACTAGCGAAGAGTTAAGAGATAAACAATAAAACACTGTACTGTAAAATGTTTTAACAATATAAAACTGTACACCTGGAGAATAAATAACCAATATACAGCTATGGACATTTCTACAGTAATGGATATTTTTAAAAAAGCAGCAACATCAGAGATGTGAACAATGACAGCATCATGTTATTTAAATGACTAAGGTAGAAACTGTGCAAAATCTCCATATATGTAACAACTTATTGAGGTTGTTGGGAACAGTGGTGGTTATAGAGTCTTACAGCTTCTGGGAGGAAGGATCTGTGATAATGCTCCCTGTAGTATTAAGGGTGCAGCAGTCTGTCACTGACGGAGCTCTCCAGTTCTGCAACAGCTCCATGCATGGGGTGGGAGACATCCTACAGAGATGTTAATTTAGTTAGGATCCTTTTGTTTCCCACCTCCTGCACTGAGTCCAGAGGGCCTCCAATCACAGAGCTGGCCTTACTGATCAGCTTATCCAGCCGCTTTCTCTCAGCTACAGATAAGCCACTGCTCCAACAGAAAGCTCCATAGAAGATCCTTTTCTCCATGTCTTTGGAGAAAAGGTCAAAAGACATTGGACAGTTTCTCTTTCTGAAGTCAGTGGAGCAGTGGAGGAGATGATGAGCTTGCCTGTTTAGTTGGTGAAAAACCGAGGTGACCCGGGGAGCACATTAAAAGTTAGCCTAGCAGCAGCTAGTTTAAGTAGAGCCATCTAGCGTTGCTGCAAGCATTTCTCCCGTGCTGCCTGTGAGCTGCAGTTCTAAACTTTTTAAATCACGGATCTTAAAGCAGAATGTTTTGAAGACTCTAGATTTGGCTGTGTAAGACTAAGACCGAGTATAATAAGCATGCTTTCTACTATTATAAAATATTAACAACATTATGCCCGCTTACTCTGTGTTGGTTAAACACTAAAGTATTGCAACTAAATGTAACTTAAGAAACACTTTATAGTTCAGAGTCTGTTTTTTGGGAAGTTTTGTTGGGTTTTTTGCAACCAATACCAGCAGGCAACCCAAAGATGTTATACTATAGCCCAGGGGTCGGCAACCTGCGGCTCTTTAATGCCCTCCTTGGAGCTTTTTATAGAATGTATGAAAATGGAAAAAGATGGATTTTGTTTGTTTGTTTTAATATGGTGTGCAGGAGGTCAAACAAACATTTATTATGTTTTCAATGCTGTAAAAATTTGCACAATAAATGAATTTTAACAATAATTTTTAACATTTCTGTCAACAAAGATTTGTGTCATAGCCTGCAAAACACGTTTCAGGACAGCACAATGCCAGGCAGGTGGCTGTTGTGAACAAAGCGGCAGGTATGTCTTGGGTCAGACATACAAAAAGTGCTATTGCAGAACTTCTGGATAAATTACCAGAGAGCAAAGATACATTGAACCACGGCTTTGCTCTTGATCTTCAAACTCCACTACTACTGCTAGTTTTGTTGCAAGCATAGAAAAAAACGTTCACAGATCAAACACGTAGCCCTCTTATGCAAAACTGTGAACATTCTTCCATTTTTTCCTCCAAATCCTCAAAATAAAAATAATACAAATTTCTTCATTGTTTCTGTAAATTCATCAATATAACAAAACCTCATACGTTAATATTGTAATGGAATATAAACCTAAAGCACTGAATATTGTACACCACAGTAGTCACATGATGTGACAATTGGTCAAGGATAAACATTTGATCATGAATGTGTATTATATATTTAAGCCAACATAGTCTTTTTTTTTTTGGTCGGCTAATACACTTAGAGCCACCGTTGCCATGCAAGGCCTATATAAGACTTTTACATTTTTGTGGCTCCAGACAGATTTGTTTTTTGCTTTTTTGCTCCAATATTGGCTCTTTGAACAGCTTGGGTTGCCGCCCCTGCTATAGTCTTTATCAAAGGTCCTTGTGCAACAAAAGGTGCCTAATGCACATGTTGGCTCTCTACTCCATAGCACCTGTGTTGAGATGGCATTAGCAAAACTAAACAATAAATAGTATAAATATATAACAATGACTAATATATAATATCTGCTATGTTTTTATGTTCTAGGTTTGTCAATCACTGAACCCTCTGTGCCAGTGATTAACATGAAGCAAGTGGAGCATGAGGCAATACTTGGTCTGTTTAAATGCCTTGGCCTTTGGGTAATTAGTTTGCTGGTTTCCTGTTTGGGAATTAAAATATTTTAATTTCAAATGTGACCAGAATTACATTGCTTGCTTTAAGATTTCCTGGCTAATTATAGGACACAACTTTCATGCAAAAAACTATAATTTTATTTAATAATTTTTGTTATATAAGGCAGTATTTTAAGAGTAAGTCAATAATACTGTACAATAACACGTAATCAAATATCCTATTTTTTTCAAATTTCCTGTCTACTTTTAACAATTTTTAACAAGAACAAGGTCAGCCAATGGGCTACCTTTGTGTCACCAACCAATAGGCATAGCCAGTTTTGGGGGGAAATCCCTAAGTGGAACAAAAGTCAGGTACATATAACTGGTATTATGATATAGGTGTTTCTGATGCATCTATCTGTTCATGAGAGAGGGGGAGTAGAGCAGGACATTAACAACAAATAATGTATGGCTGCTGCAATAATGCATATCATGGATATGTCCATTGTAGTTAAGATAAGGCTGAGCAAAAGGGGAAAAGTCACAGTCGATGTTCTTATATGTACCTATAGTCACAGAATCTGGTCATGACTGTCTGAAAGAATCTCAATTCCAGATATCAATGGCAGGGTGGCCTGGCACACCCTTAGGGACAGAGTGAAAGGTGGAGTGCAGCTGCTGCTCCTCCACATCCAGAGAAGCAAACTTAATTGACTTGGGCCTGTGTCTTGATTGCCCCCTGGACTGTCTCAGATGGTGCTTGAGGCAATCCCACCATAAAGCTGCCAAGGGGTCAGTGGAGGTCTCTATGTCGCTCAATTGGCCTTGGAACGTCCCATGCTTCATCAGAGCAGCTAGAAGAGATTTCAAGGTCAAGGGATGTCTGGGTCTTTCTGCTGAGACTGCTGCCACTGAAACCTGGTCCCGGATGAGTAAAAGATAACAAGTGCTAGTGCAAGCACTAGCACAAAAACAATTTTCTTTGAGGAAATATCAACGACTCATTTAACTTTTTACTTATTTGCAACAGTAAGTAATACCCTTTTAATTCTTTTGAGTTCTCTTAGACATTAAAAATTATGGTTTTGGAAGTGTTAACAGTATTTTGGGAAATCATAGAGTTCAAGAAAGGATTAAATGTCTCCAGAGAGCACAATAAAGGCTGGAGTTTACAAATCGTAATACTAGCTCTGATATAAAATGCTATGTATATCCTACAATGTCAACTCCCTAATCATCCCATCTATGGAATGACTAAGAAATTAAAATAGTAAATCCATTTTTCTAAAAAGGAACTTCTCTCACACAAAATGTAACACCACCACTACATTTACAATGTATAGTTGCTATTGGTAGTTAAAAGTTTCCAAAACTCGAGTTCAGAAACATCCCATAACATTCAGATTGATGAATTGATAGAGGAAATACTTTTAAATTTATATCTATAAAGCTGAAATAAAAATATAATGTGGCAACCAAAAAAATAACTTGCTTGTCTCGGCTCTTTTCTTGACTCTATTCTTAATTTTATAATTTTATGCACTAGTTCATGTAAGGTAATTGGTGGGGTGGCTATTTCTAGAGGTTCTTGGGGGAGAGATGGAATATGACTATGGTATAAATATTAAAAATTAGATTTTTATATCAAATCACCAGAACCAATGCCAACTGGCAGCTATCCAATAGCCATAGCCAACCAGCAGAAATTTAGAATTTTAAGACAGATATTTAGGACAGTGATGTCCTAGATGGACTTAAAAAAAGACACTAGAACAGGGATCCTCAATTCCAGTCCTCAAGGTCTGGCATCAAACACCATTTCAATGTGTGTCCCTGCTTCAACACATCTGAGTCAAATAATCATGTAATTGACATGATTCTGCAGAACCTGACCACATACCCAGAGAGTAATATTAAATATTTTGTTTCAGGTTTATGGAAGCAGAGATATAGCTAAAAGGGGCAGGGCCAGAATTGAGGAAGGATATACCAGAGGGTGATAGAGGGATGAACCAGTGCCAGACAAAGGGCTTTCTAAAATGCATGTTTAGATCCTTTTAAATGGGAGCGACCCTTTTAAAATATTTGTAACTTGCTCACATTTGGATTTGAGATTTTGAATAAACATAAAATTTTGAATACTGCACAATTTACTTTCACTCTTACCTGGGTGAGTTGAAACCACTGTCTACTGTAACACTGCTGCTGTCCATGCTGTCCAATCGAGCAGAGTGGGCAGACTTCTGGCTGTTGCTGTTCTCGGTCTCCTTGGGACTTAACAGGGTCAGATTGGTCTCAAGTTTCCGCTGCAAATCATGCTCTTTCTCCCGTTCCAGCAGCCACTGCATGGTTCCTTCTCCACCACCTCCGCTGCTGCCTCCACCATTTCCGCCTCCTTCCACATGGTCTTTGCTGTCCTCTGCTGTGGCCAACTCTTTGTGCGAGTCCTCCTCTGCCTCTTCCTCCTCCTCATCATCTGATACGTTATAATAGTCAAATGAGGCAGAGGTGACTGTTGGCTCTAAGCAGCTCTGTAAAACTGCAGGTGACGCTGAGGAAGTGGCTGAATTGGAAGGCTGCTGGGGCTCAGGATTGTCTAGGGCCTCTGTTGATTTGGCATGTGAGGCTTTCCGCAATGTGCCAGACTTGGTGTAGCTGCTGTCCACATAGCCAGTGGACAAGGCATTATGTGGAGGTTTGAACAAAGTGTCCTTGCTGAAAATCTCCTTTCTCTTGATCACCAAACTGCCTCCTCCCCCTCCAGGGTCTACATTGTGTTGGTGTGGTGTCAAACGGGCATTTTGTGCTGGTTCTGGCGTCTGGCTTGGCGTCAGTCGCACTGCACCGCTCTGTCCCTTTGCTGTCGACATTTCCTCTTTGTACTCCATTGTATGAGGAGAGGTAAGGTGAGGAGTTTGCCGGTCAGCTGGAGAGCCCTTTCGGAGTCCCCCTGATGAGGTTAATGTGTCATATTCTGATTTTGCCTGAGGCGAAGGGGCAGTAAGGATTGTTTCATTTGATGTATTGCACTGGAAGTACTCATCCGTAGAGGGCTTAGGAGAAAGTCCCATTAGCTCATTGTACGTCGGCAAGCTGTCTCTGCTTTTGTTCCTCTCCATTGTACTCCGGATCCTCGACTCATCCAGACTTCCTTTCCCCAAATCAGGCACATTAAAGTCGGAGTGGAACTTAGCAGCAGAGAACATGATCCTTGAGTAGTGGGAGGACTTCTGTGTGGCCCTTAGGGTCCCATCATCAGTGTAGTAATGACTACGCTCCTCCAGACTCGGTTCAAAGTCTTCTTGCGCTCCTAGTGACGGACCCTTGAGAGAATTGTCCATTGACCGAGATCGTTCTTTAGCTTGATCTGACCTCTCATGTCGAGACTTCCTGTCCTGATTGTGGCTGTGACTTCTTTGCACTCTGGATTGACAAGTACCACGTGAAGGCTCAGGAAAGGGCATCTCAGTTCGCCTCTTGGCCAGCTCCCCAGACACGTCCCACTCTGGTGTAACTGGGCAGTACGATTCAGTAATATTGGGGTTACTATGAACTAGGTAGGTCGCACCTCCACTCCGCCTGCGTTCCAAAGTGTACATAGCTTCCCGAGGTGAGCGTACCAATGAGTGGCTAAAGAAGCGGTAATCTCTTTCCATAAACACAAGATCCCAGTTTGAACCCTCAGAAGGGTCTCCCCTTGATGTCCTTGGTTTGCTGTGAGAGCGAGATTTACCATGAGGTGCCCTCCGGTGGCCCCTGCCCCTCCGACTGCGTGCACTATGCTGGGCAGAAGACCCCGCCTTGTTCTTCTGTGTACGCTCTTCTTCTAGCCTTTTCATTACAGCAGTGTGCCTTGCAACATTCTCCACTGTAAGGTCAGGGTTAATCCTACGAATTATTTCCATTTCCACCTCCCGAGGAATGGGCGTAGTAGGCACATCCTCATCACGTAGGGGCCACTCCTCAGGGGGGAACTGGGCTGAGAAGGTAGCCAGCTGTCGCATTTTGTCTTTCTTGAAACTTAGCCTAAAAAGTTTGAGACCAAACCTTTTGGTTTGCTTCTCACCACTTCCACCACCACTTGCCTCTTTCTTTTTGGTCAGAGTGTCAGCTTTATAAGGAAAAGAAGTTATGCCTTTGTTTTTATCAGCTTGATCTTGAGAAGGCGGTGACTGTATAGGAGGAGAAGTGGGGGCCGGGGGATGGGGATATGATGGTGGTTCTCCCCTGTGTTCCTTGGCCAAAGTGCTTGGAAGAGCCTCCCCACCATTTTGATCCTTGGGGGGCTTGTTTTGATAGGAATCTCCCTTGTGCTCCTTGGGTGACTTACTTTGAAGCGCAGAGCCATGCATTCTTGACTGGTCCTCACGATAGGAATTGTATGAGTCATTGTGGTTCTTACGAGGAGGCCTTTCCCTCATGCAGCCTGGTGTTGATGGTGTGACGTTTCCAGACGGAGGTGAAGTGCAGTTTTGTGGCTGTTGTTGCTGCTGACGCTCTGGTAGCCGATCTTCTAGATGGTACCACTTGTTGTTTGTTCTGATGAGGGAGGGAGTAATAAAGTATGTCTGGGGAGTTACAATGAAGTAGCCCTCTGGGGTTGGATATATCTTCCTCTCTCGCACCAGCATATTCAAAGTGTGTCGAAGTACTTCTGAACTAGGTGTAGGCACGCCTGTAAGAAGTGCATACAAGTATAAAGAGTTAAGGGAACAGCTGGTGAGTAACAACATAATTAAAAGAAAGAGACCCTCCATCCATCCATCCATCCATCCATCCATCCATCCATCCATCCATCCATCCATCCATCCATCCATCCATCCATCCATCCATCCATCCATACATAAACAAAACAGTTTTCCTTTGTAATGCCATTACTGTGTGTAATTAATTGATTTTTATATATATTTATATGTTTCCCTCACTGAATTATGTTTCTCAGATAAATATTTTAAATAATGAACTTTAATAATTAACTAACTTAAATGAGTAGGACTATATACTTCTCTCTATTTTGAGAAAAATTTTGACTTCAGTGCTCTACAGGTCATTTGGTTATTCAGTTGATGAATCATTTTTGTACGTAAGGATAAACATCTTGATTTTTTTAGGTTTTAGAGCATAAATGATTTTTTTTAAATTGTTTCCACTCACAATAGGCCATAATAGTGAAATATTCCCTTTCCCCTTAAAGTCAAACATTTACATTATTAGGCTCAATTTGGAACAGATCAGATGACATGGCTTTGTAAGCTTCAGGTTCAAAGCAACTGACTAAATCCAAGGCAGATGTGAGTCTACACCTCAAACATGTGCACTTGTGCAAATCCTTTTGTCTGTGAAGGTTCTCAGTCATCCAGGTCATGGTTAAACGGAACTTTTCAAGCACACCCTTTTGATCTTCTTACAGTCCCTTAGGATAGGGCAATATGGCAGATTTTAACTTTGCCATATTTTTCAACTTTCATCTACAAAGCTCTCTCAAAACCTGCCAGTTTGGAGAATCTTCTGTGCAAGGCCCTCATCTAGAAGATTTTGTAGTAGGTTTCAGGTTTAGGATCTTTCTGGGTCACTCAAAAAGCTTAATAGTCTTATGATGGTGCCATTTGTTTGTTGATATGACTGTATGCGTTGGGCTGTGGTGATGCTAAAAAGTTAAGTTCCTCTACTTTTTTAGCTTATAAAGACGTTGCATTTGCATTGTATTTGCATGGAGTGGTATCTAGAATTCCATAATTTTGTTACACATTGATTAAGGCTGAAGTTACATTTCAAAGCCATGATGCTGCTACTGCTGTCCTGCACAAAGAGTATGGTGTGCGTTTTATCATGATGGTATCTATATCGAAAAATTCAACCTCAGTTTAATCAGACTTTATTATATTTTTTAACATGGCTGTAGGAGACTTACTTTTTCTATCATGACAAAAAGTCTCTTGCCACACAAGCACATAGGCTGGATGTATGAGGAATATAGGAAATCTTTGTAATGTGTACTACATACTTTCCATAACTTCCTTCAGATCAAATATTATTGGTGTAGTCCTCTTGGCAACCTTACTGACTAGTTTTATTCTTTTCATAAGTAAAAAAAATCCAGTTAGTTAAAAATGTAACCTCTGCATCCTATTTTCTCTGCCTGGTCACGATTTCACTTTTTTCAATTGTATATATAACACCTTTAAAACAGTTTCTTTGCTTCACTGATATGTTTTGAAAATTAAGATTCCACTAATGCTTTGGAATTCTTCTTGGACCATGCATTGTTCTCTCAGCCAAAAACTATTAGTAATTTGATTGCTTTTATGTATTTATTTTTCTTTTTTTTTCACAGGAAATTGCACACTCTCATTCTCAAGAGGAAAAGTACACTTTAAAATGCTTATAATATAATCCAGAACCTATTATTTATGTTGCTTAGAGAGTCAATGTGATATTGAAATACAAAAGTTTCTGAATAATAATTAATATAATAAATGTTTAAGAAATAGTGATTGAGCCATTTTTTTTTTTATGTAATTAAGTCCCTTAACCTGATAAAGCAAAAAGTCAAAACAAGCATACACTCACAAATCTTTATTTATTGTTGCATTTTTGTGAATGTCTTCAGGTCATTGAGGTAGACTTAAGATCGGACTAATGTTACCCAAATCATCTTTCTTATTGGAAAAGAGCTATCTATACAAACCTGGCTCTATGTGTTAATTGTCCCTAAACATAATAAGTAGTTATGACTTCATGTTGCATGTACTATTCAATGGCTGTAATAACTGTCTTTCACATTCCTGTGGGAGAACTTTGGCTTATTTTTAATTGCAGAAGGATTTCAATATACACATAGAGTAAGCTTTTCAAGAATGAACAGTATATTTAAAGCTATGCTCAATCCGATCTAAGTCTGGACTTTGATTATGCCAGTCCAAAACAACCATTTTATTTATTTTTAGAATCTTTGTCCTTCTGTATTATCACACAGCGTTGAGCTTTAGATCACATATCAATGCTGTTATCTTTCCTAATGTATCAAAGAAATAGATTATATAAAAAAGAAAATCAGTGGATCTAAAACAAAAAAGTTATTGTTTTAAGTCCTAGAAAAATTGCTTTATCTTTTTAGATGCATGATGCTGCTTTTTGAGACCTTGTAACCTACTTCATGTGGTGAGAGAAGTTCTGCTCAAAGGATTTCTGGAATACACTGGTCTGTCATTTGTGCTATTTTAGATGTCCATTTCTAGATTCAGCCTTTGTCCATCTTTTATTGAAGGAGGGTGCCCTCACCCACCAATGAGACCACCAGTCCCCACTATAAAGATCTTAGCATGAATCGACTTATTCATAGTTATTGTCATTAAAGTCACTAGCCTCCGTTAGTAATGCCAGATCACATCGTGAGCTATTTCTGTCTCTACGTTGTTGCTGATCTACTTCAGCTTTCTTTAATTAAACGTCAAACTTGACAAACGCTGGACAAAAATAACATTACATAATAATGCATTATACTCTGTGGCAGACTTACACTAATTCACATGTGCACCCATGTAGGGTTAAGGTTGGGTATGTTTGACGTACATACAATCAGCACAGAGAATGAGCCGCCCTTCTTGTCTGCAGCTTTTATACTCTGTGCAGCTTTTCCCCCATTCTGGCCGGCTCCAGGGGGCATGCACAGCATAAAAAGCAAGCTGACTACACCATACTACATGAGGCAGTAAACAACACAGCAGTTTAATGCTTTTTCAAAGCCTCTTTATACTCTTGAAAAGCGACAGTCATTTCTTTGCAAGATTTTATTCACAATTTGCTGATAGTGGTGGTTTTTATGGGTTGAATCCCATGATGTCTCCTTATGTCAACATTTGTGAATCCTCGCTGGTTGGAGCTGTTGCTTGTTCACTAGTGTTTTTCTACGTGGATCTGTCTGTGTAGTTACATGATTCCATAGGTGTGCAATGCCAAAATTTTGTCCGTATGGACACTTTCTTTCAATTAGTTTAAAGACTGATGTTAAAGTAAAAACCTGTGTTTTTTAATTCTCTTATCACACTTAAATGCATAAATATGTCTGCATAGCCTTATTGTATCTATTATATGTATGGCTAAGAGCTAAAACAGCTAAATGCTAAATCAGTCAATGTGTTTGTCACTATCAAGCCTGTTACATACTCTTCGAGAACAAAAATAGTTTCTTGTTCTTGTAGTAGCAAGAACAAGCATGTTTTGCCTTAAAGTGTTCAAACTTCATGATGAGCTCAGCTGCAGAACTCAAGAAAAGTCCATAAACTGAGGCTATTCAGTGGGAGAGGAGGCATTTTTGAGACTGAAGAAGAAAGAGAAGTTTTAGAAGATCTATCATTTTTTTATATATATCTTTTCATTGCCTTGACCATCTGATTCTCTAAAGTATTACTTTTATAATATATATGTAAATGTAACATGTAGTTGTTACAGCACCCAAACAACGATGTAACAATGCCCATCTAAATCCTGGCCAATGTGAAATTGTTTCTTCTCAGACAAAAAAGTTCTGCCTAGACAATGGCTGTTTATTAGTATGCCTACTTGTGCTTTTTCATGTGCTTGTGACACGTCATCACCCTAAGTCCCAGCACTATTTCAACTGACAAGAATATTAGACCGAGAATGGACAAATTCCTGGATGTTGTTCTGGGTCTGCCCTCTTTACCGAGCATGGAATTGAGGAGACTTGTGCGTTTTTCAGAATGACAGCTGTCCCAGGATGCACCACGGCAGCAGCAGCTTCCAGCTCAGAGTAGTGTTGTAGTCAAGACCACACCAACCATCACCCAGGAGTACCGAGACAAAGCCAAGACCTTTAGAGGCCAAGACCAAGACAAGACCCAGTCTTTTAAAGGCCGAGACCGTGACAAAGACCATATGAGGTCTTGGTCTCTGCCTCTAAAAGCTTTTGCCTTAGTGTGTTGCTGACTACAAAACTAGCTCACAGTTAAAAGTTCATTTTTTTGTTGCTGTTGTTCTACAAAAGTATGTTTTAAGATTGTTTAATCCCATTTAGTGATTTTGAGTGTAAAAAGTTTGGATGATGAGAGGACCGTGGAAACCAGCGGACCTCTAAGGCTAACTGCAGCCAGAGCCTATCGTAGCCTGTCAGCAGCAGCCGTCTCTCAGCATAGTCGTATATGAATTACCAGTGGCTTTGATGGCGGGTTTTTAACATTGATTTGATTTGTGTTTATCTGTTTGCGTTGATCATTATCCCAAAACTGAATAAAAAAAGTTTTAATTTATTATTATCTAGAGACTATTAATAAAAGGAGGTGAAATACAGGTCCAGAGAAGCCGAGCCTCACGAATGTTTCTATTCCAATAGACACAGATTTGTTCTGCATCCACACCTGTTCTCCAGGCAAGTGTTCATGAAACAATAACAGAGAAGATAGCTTGGCTGTTTCTGATAATCAGGTGGTGTCCTGACTCAGTAGTTGTGTACAGAATTTCCTATTTTGTTCAAAACTGTATTTAAGAACTTACTATTACTTATAAACAAACAAAATCTATTGTTGAACAACACATTTAACTGTGGCAAAAAACTAACAAGCAAAAGAAATATATAAGAAGGATTTTTTTTTTTTTACTACACTGTATAATTTCAGTAAATATACTAGTATATTTGTACTTATATTTACAAAGGCAGCATACTATGTACTTAAAGATTTTACTAGGATTTGTACCTGGAAAACTGGCAGTAAGGTGCTCCATCAGTGCTTCCTGGTTGACAGGCTTGTGGGCAGAGTTCATAGCAGAGATGGCCAAGCACAATATTTCCCCCAGCGGTATGAACTGTGACTGACTGATAGGTGACATACTGATCGGAGACACATCACCTGCAGAAAGAGGAGGAGGGGGTGGAGGCAAAACAGTTAGATCATGAATGAACAGTGGGCGCAGCGTGTGAAGCTATGATGTAATGGTCAAACAGCAGCAGTGTGCACGCTGCCTCAAACGGCTCCTCCCCTCGCCTCATGCTCCCTTAGCCTCTCTCTGCTGCTGTTTCATCTGGATTAGCAAAAAGAGGAATCTGTTTCAGTAGCACGAAACCCATTGCTAACCCTGCATCTGCGTTAGAAAACCAGCTAAAGCAATCCTCAAAGATCAACCTATTTTAAGTGCTGCTTCCAGCAGAAACTCTAGGCCCGCCATAAGCTTTGCTGTCAGACGTAGTGAATGATGAGATCATCCTATAGCCAGAAAGCCAGGCTTCGAGCTTTTCCGAGAACGGACATCTGTCCAGCTGGAAGGTTGTAAAGTAACACGCTGAATGCTCTGCTGCAGCATCTGTGATGTAGTGACCCTGTCCCCTGACCTACATCTGCGAAATATGAGATGATGAAGAATCCCTGTGATCAAAAGCTCCAAGTCTATATCAATTTCAACATAAATCCCCCTCATCTTTACACCAAAACAACAAAAATCGGCATCACTCATTTCTAATTTGCTTCTTTAACTTTGTCTCCTCAGCACGCTCAGCCAAAAAGGTCAGTTTAGAAGCACAATGACGTTATCTCTACTTAGTATCCAAAGACCTATAAGCTGATGTGGCTGTTAAGGGCTTTACTTGGTTTATATTAAAAACAAGCACAAAGGGTGGCTTTTGTGAATCTGCACTAATGCATGTTATTGGTTTTTAATACTGTTTACTGAACTAGCACAAAGAGACAGAAATACACACAATAAAAAGGACATTTTGCACAGTGAGGATGCTTCTTCATAACAGAGAGGCCAAAACAAAGAGTAAAGGTAAAGATCCGCTCAACAAATATCATTCAGACATTCAAATAGCAAAAGCTAGACCTACTTTACTTTTTATTGAAATCTTAAAATATAGGTAAGATAGTACTAAGATTGTAAAACGTATGAAGAGTAAGGAAACTAAACATATTTGAAGCTGCTGTAAAGGTGTCTAATGCCAATTTTCTTGTGATCTCAAGAAGAATCTTTCCAACACTTCTTAGAGTATATTCTACTATATGCACTGATGCAATGCACGCATCCCACATCAGTTTTTCTAAATTCTTAGCTGTCTCTCGTAGAGAAGGTGGAGCTACTGGCTGAAAGGGGGAGTGTCGGACTTACCTGGCGCACGATAACTTGGTGGGGACGGAGAGAAATGCGGAGGAGGAGGAGGAAGATGCTGCTTCTGCACACGGATGTCTTTCTCACTACGAGAGAGATTGTGATCCAGCGGGCGTTCAGGAAGCTCCGAACTGGGCCAAGCCCGCCGCAAATTGGCGCTGCGGTTCTTCTTCATCTTGACCCCCCCTTTTTTTTTAAAACCAGCGGCCTTCACTCCCCGAGGATCTCTGGGATAAGGAAGCTTGGGGCAAAAGGGTGATGGGGGTAAGGGCGGTGGGAAATGGTGTAACAGGGGGGGGGTAAGGGGGGAAGGGGAGGGGGGAGGTGGGGAAGGGGGAGGTCGACCAACCTCAGGCTCAGTGCCTCCCCCGCATCAGTGAGAACGTCCCGCTAGAGCAATCACACACCAGACATGGCAGGAACCAGTGTGCGCCTTTACGCACATTCACGCATCTCATTTACGCACACAAGCAATCTGCAAATGACCGCGTCGGCACTTGGGGCTGTTGTCATCGGCTGATCCAGAGCGACGGCGGCAGAGGGGCAGGTGATTGCGCGAGGCATCACCCTTTCATCGACATCAGTCCCAGCCACCATTTGTAGCATCCCCATTTGCATGCGTAGGGAGGCACATTACGTAGCCACTCTGATGTGGGCGGAGGGAGCAGGAGAGATGTGGAGGGGTGGGGGGGCAGGGGTAGAGATGAGGGAAATGGGGCATTGGAAGCAAGGAGGACGGTGAGAAAAGATTTCAGTAGAGCTTTTTGGGGATCTGCTTGTTCCCTTTCAGTAGAAAGTAACAGGGAGGGGGAGGATCCGGAGGAGATTGATGGTTGGTCACAGATGCAAAGCTTTAAGAGGCCCAGTCTTTGACAATAGCTCAATTCACCACAGGAGTGCTCGGCCGATCCCCCCGTAAAACAAAAGAGCTGGCTTAAAAAACAGCCAGAAAGAAAAGCTCCATTCACCCCAAGGGGCAGTGAAACCTCAATAGTAAGCCCAGTGCCGGAGACATCATGTTCACCTCCATCTTTATCCCATCAGCCACAAGACCCCATCGTCCTTTCGACAACAGAACACCAGCAGAGGGTGGAGAGAGAAAAAAAAATGGTGAGCATAGAAATTAAATAATTAAATTCAGGAACAGATATCCACAGTTTCCCGCAATCCAATGTTAGAAGCTCCCGATCCGATCGCCGTAGCATCCATTCATTAACAAGGGAGGGGGCGGAGGGGTGGAGGGGGGTGGGGGATGCAAACTCCAGTCAACGACAAATCTCTTTCAACGCTAATGCTGCAGCTGCTCCCAGCACCTCCAGGAAGGGTGTGTGAGTATGTGCGTGTATGTGTGTATGCATGTGTGTGTGACAGAGGGAGAGAGAAAGAGGATGGAAGGGAGAGAGAGAGAGAGAGAGAGAGAGAGTACGTATGTGCGCATCCGCCTGCTGCGCGCGATTCTGCGTGAGCATGCATGCGTCTGTGTCTGGGTGATTGAGGCTGAGAGGAAGGGAGGAGAGGATGCAAGGGAAAAGGAATGAGGACATGGGTTAGATGCAGAGAGGAGAGTAAAAATTAACAGATCAAACACAGAATAATATCCACCACTCATGTTAAGTCCAGGAGAAAAATAGAAAGAGATATTTGCCTATAATTCTGCTGCCCCCCCACCTACACTCCCCTTCTCTGCATCATGGGCTGTCCTCTTTAGGGATGAGGGCCTCCTACACCACCTTTCCTCCTCTTTTCCTGCTTCACCTGACTGTATGACAACATTTACAGGTGACAAAAACCACTCAGACAGCAAATTTGACTTCATGGGTTAAAGTGCTTCACACCTGGAACTGAAACTTTTTTGAACTTCAAGTAAACAAACAAACAAAAAAAGCAAATAAAGCTTCTAACGCACTCCTGCTGACTCACAAGTGGTGGAGTGTGAATGGACAGTTAGAGGGACAGAATAAGGAGCAAAGTGAGAGGGCAGGACAGGGCAATGTGGTGAGGTGGGGGTGGGAGAGTGAGGCAGGACAGTGTCACAACCAATCTGCTCCAGTTCAGTGATACCAAAAAGAAAGAGAGGGACAGGAGGAGGAGGGAGAGCAACGCCATGCCAGCCATTTTATTTCTCAGTTGTGCTGCAACAGCCTTTGTTGCTATGACAACGCAAGCCGATGAGCTCATAGCTGTAGCTTTTGAGTGTTGTTCCCTTAAAGAGCCAGTTACCCAAAATAGAAAGCCGACTGAGCACATAGACAAGGACAGGAAACACTGTGATCCTTTTACACAAGACTATTCAGCAGAGCGATATATATTATATAACACAACCCAATGTGAAATATACGGATTTCAATTAAATTATAATTCTGTTTTAAACTTTAAATCATTATGATAATTTGGCTCAAAAGGTGACTTTAAATTTAAATCTGTTTTCATTGACTCGTTTTAGAGGATTATGACAGCTGATGTCAAATTTGATTTCTCTCACATTTAGAATATTACTTAGAAAATAGTATAAAGAATTAAACTTTTAAATAAAGTCTTCTAACTCAAAATATATCCATATCTTGTAAAGTGCATGCATTAGATTCTTGGATGGGGATCCTTTTGACTGAATTCTGCTTTGGCAATGCTGAAGTGATAGGACAGCCAGGTTGTGTTGTTATCATATGCATTTAATTTTCTAAATGACTTCCTCACATAAGTACACCTTTCACTAATCTTAATCTGATCTTGTCTTATCTTATGTCATATAATACGGTCATACTAAATATTATAGAATATGCATTATGTGAGACTTGCTTGTCAGATTAAAAGTACCTTTTATTAAGCCCACATTGCTGTATTAAAAGGATTTGTTCTTGATCTAATGTAATATTTTAATTTGAAATGTTCTAAGGCATGTAATAATTTAAATGTGAGCCATGTAATAATTTTAACTTAATACAAAAAATGCTTAAAAACATCAGTCTGTGTGGAATTAATATATGTAATGTTTTGCATTTAGTGAATTTGGTTCCCTGTCTTTGAAGCCCTGTGTTGGGGTTGTGTTTTCCCTCAACAGCAGAATGTAATTGCTCAGAAAGCAGGACCCAGAATTCAGCCAAGACAGTGGAATACTTAAAAAGCGTTTATTAAAAAAACAATGTAACGGATCTGCAGTGGCGGCGGCTGCAACGGCTAAGGCATCTGAGGCAGGAATGTCTGGTTTGACAGTTCAGTCCGTGCCCATAGAACGGGGATTATTACAGCCCGTCTGCTGACAAGACGCAGCGGACGCTGCCAGAGGGTTCAAGATCCGGAAGACTAGAAGGCTGTAGACCTGACAGGAGATCAGATCCGAGCTGACGTAGGAAGGCAGAATAACCCACAGGACGAAGTTAAGAGGATATCCAGGTTCAGTCCACAGAAGAATCCAACAGGAGTCCAAAGACAGGCCAGGCAAACAGATCAAACAGGGGCAGGAAGGCACAAAAGACCAAATGCAGAAATGGATCAGAGCAGAACACAATAGAATGCTAGAGAACCCTTGACACCAAAGGCTCAGGAGTAATCTGGCATTGATGGCTGAGACCAAGCAGTTTAAATACAAGCAGGTGGATCAGATAAGCAGTGATGAGGAACAGGGGAGAGCTAGACAGGTGAATGAAATGAGCAATGAAGCCAGCCAACAGCGCCACAATCATGACAGAATTTCCACAGGAAGAATAGACACTTCTTCAAAATTGTTCCTTGAAAGTTACTTTTGGCAAATACC